TAGACCCATGCTGGTCCTGTGCCTGCCGCTTCAGTCTCTGTGGGTTCATCTGAGCTTTGCTCAGGTGACTAAGCAGGCCTCTTTCTCCTGCTGTCCTCCATCTCTCTGCCTCTTATACTCTTTCTTTGCACCTCCTCTTTAAGGAGTTCCCTAAGCTCTGAGAATTGTGACTTGACAGAGACATCCCATTTAGACTTGAGTGTTTCAAGCTCTCTCTCTCCATTCTGTCTCACTGTGGGTCTCTATATTCGTTCCCATCTGTTGCAGGAGGAAGCGTCTCTGATGATGACTGAATGAGGCACTGATCTATGAGTAGAGTAGGATATCATTATGACTCATTTTATTGTTACTTTTTAAAAGTAGTGTTTGGCTTATGCTAGGTCTTCTGTCTATCTAGTGTCTGGTTTTGGTTACCCATGCAGTGTTGGGTATGGGTTCCATCACATGGAGGTGGGCCTTATGTCAAATCAGACATTGACTTTATGCTACCATTGCCCCAGCATATTTTGCAGGCTGGATAGATTGTAGATCAAAAGTTTTGTGGCTGGGTTGGTGTTTACATTTCTCTTTTAGTAGCCTACAGAGTACCATCCTACACCAAAGGAACTTGGACATAGGATTGAAGGCTCTGTGTAGGCACCACCTTGACTTTTCCTGTTCAGTGAGTTGTGTGGGTGTTGTCTTCAGCAATGGGGCCTTGCTGTCAGTTGGTGGAGAGCAACTTATTCTATCAGTCACAGCCTGGTTGTTTAGGAATTTATGCATCCATGTGACTTTAATTTCCCTATAGACTTGGTACAGTTTTATTCTTATTCCATGGTTTGAGAGTTAGACATTGGGCAAATTATTTATTTTAGAGCACAAGACTATTAGATATTTTATTGGCTTCAGTTTAAAACCTCCATCTAAAGATACTCCAGCAGCATTTCTCTCTGATAGAAATACACAATATCAAAATTCCCCCATCATTCCTTGTGATCTAAGTAAACAATTTTGTATGTTAACAAGCTCTTTTCACTGGGGGAGCAAAGTCAGGTTTTCTCAGCGAACTGAAGTATGTTTCTAAGCTTTTCCTCTTTGGTGCTTTGGTTTAGTCACTACCACAACTACCAATAATAAAAAAATGTTAACATGGCATAGATGTGCTCTGAGTATTAAAATAGTGCAATACAGCTCCTGGCACATAGCGAACATTACATAAATAACATAGCTGTGGCTACAGTTTAGACCCATAATCCTCTGCATGCTGTTGGAGAAGGCTCGCCTCGGGGTTCTGCCAAAGCACATTTCTTAATATCCCATTGGCCATACTAGTTACCTGCCGGGTTCAGCTTCAAGGAGAAGTTTAATGAACTCTTGCTTGTGGGGAGGAGGAGCCAAATGTTATGTTCATTTCTTCTCAGTTTACCATGGTTACCAGACACTGAGTAGATCCCTCTGATAAGAGGCCACATGGTTTTTACATTAATAGGAAAGCTATGCTCAAGTAAGCATTCATCACTTCTGAAGCAGCTTCCATAGTTCCTGTTCACATCCATGCCTGGAGATAACTGACGCCAGGAGAGTTTAAATGCCATGCCTGAAGTTAACACAATGAATCAGGCTAGATTTTGAAGTCTTCTGTTTGAAGTGTTAGAGCTTTGTAAAGTACTGGACTCGGCTTGTTAGATTACCCTTTCCTTAAAGCGCAGACAACTTGGTGCTGTTAATCTATTTTCAGTATGATTCAGTAGCCATTAATTTTCCAGTGAGCTTGTCCCTTATGCTTATGGCTTAGGATGTAAGAATAGTTCATTTACACAGCAGAGCGTGTTCCTCCAATTGAAACCGTTGAGTCTAAGGCTGAGGAGACAGTTCAGTCAGTAGGGGGCTTATGTTGCAAGCATAAGACCCTGAGCTCATCCCCAGAACCCATAGTAGTGTGGTAGCGTGTGCTTGTAATACCAACGCTGGAAGGTAGAACTAGGTGGATTCTTTGGTTTTGCTGAATATCCAGCTTAGACTGTTTGCCACAGTCCAGGTCAGTGAGACATCTTATATGAAGAACAAAAGGTGGGTGGAGTCTGTGGAATGGGACCTAAGGGTGTCCTCTGACCTCCACACAGACACAAATGTGTGCACTGGCACACACAAAACAAAGAGCAAAAACATCAGCCTTGTTGCATCTAGCTTTTGCCTCAATTGCTCTTTATCTCTTGAGGAGTCTTGTGCCTCCCTGCTCCCCCTGGGACACACTACACTGTGAGGCTGAAATGCTTGCAGTGGAGCTGTATGAGCTCCTGTTGTCAGTTGTAGCCTGGAAGCTGTAATGAGTGACATGCTCGCTTAGAAGACCATCGACGGTTGAGATCAAGGTTATGTGTTTGGACTACATACTGGTTATAGGTCCAGAGCCCCACAATTGTGTTTGGAAACAATGCAAATTAAACTTCAAATTCAAGTGACTGCTGCTCCTGCTGAATGAGCCTTGTTCCCTATTGGTTTTGCTGTCATTGATGCGAGGACTAGCCACCATGTTTATTTTGTGTCTCACCTTGTAACCTTCAAATATCTTATTTAGGTAGCACAAAAACTCAACTTGTAATATCTGCATTTCATTGTAGTTGTGAAAACCCAGTTCTAAAACAGTAAGTTACTGTTCTGAAATCTGTGGCTCAAAAAGGGTTGATTCCACACTTAGCATGTACACTAACTACCCTATCTCACTGTTCCAGCCTCAAACTCAGTATTAATGCTTTCTTCATGGCCACGATCAGCTCAGTTTACCTTTACATAGTGATGCAGCCCTTGTCCTCACCTTCCATTCTCTTATTTGAGAATTAATTACATACTGAATGACACTGGGGCTTCACTGTTCTTAATGGCACACTCAGCCCTCTTCAGGCATATCCATCACGCATGCTCTTGTCGAGAACCCAGAGGCAGGCTGCAAAGAGTTGTAGAGCCTGCCTGACTTCAAGTGCGGCCGCGAGTGAGTCTGCTGGGTGCAGCGGAAGTGATCTATGTCTTTCATTACCAGCATAATTCCCTTTTAATGGAAGTAGCCACCCGTACCCTCAGGATGGTTGTCCTCGTTATAATGAGGCTCCCCAAGTGGAATGAGGCTCACATCCTTCACAGAGAATAAGAAGAGCTCATTTCCACCACAGTGCAGTGAGCATGCCAGGACCCCCAAGAACTTGAGGGTCTTTAAGTCATTCTCTCTGTAGGCTGGCACTGAAGCAGTGGGGTCTTGGCAGCAGCTGCAGGGAGGAATACCTTGGTCAGCGATGCTTCATCTACTTCCTGCCTCAGCGACCAGCCCAGCTCCCCCCATTCTCACTGTTAGAGCCATGCACCTCCTTAGCTCAGCACCCCAACTCTTGATCTATTTTGAGATTTCCCAGGTTTTTTTTTATTTAATTAAGCTACATGATGCATGTGCTTTTGTTCTAAGCTTACAATTTTCTAGTTTTTTTTTCCTCCCAGAGAACTTGTTTTGTTTGTTGTTTTGTTTTGTTCCGGTGTGGTTGGGCAATGCTCACCTTCATCACTCCACTCCTTCTATTGTCATCTGCTCAGTTGGCCAACCCTCCTGCTGCTCCTAGTGCCGGTCCTCCCACAGGCATTTGTTTCTGCAGCCACACATAAATAGGACTTCTGATTGGTACAGGGGATGAAATACTGAACAAATACAGGCAAGATTTCTGTGGTGATAAGGGATGGGTAGAAGTTGAAAAGCTGATTGGGTGTTACAAGGGTCATATAATCTAGGTGGCTAGTACCAAGGCAGGCAGATCAGGAAGCTCTTCTGGGCAGAAACATTAGAGCTGATATCTGAAGCAGAAGAGAGTTAAGCATGGAATAGACACCAAAGTATCAGTACAATTATAGCACAGGGTCACACACACACACACACACACACACACACACACCTCATTCAGTGTGAAGAATAATATGCGAGGATGGCAGGACTTATGAGTGGGGCCCTGACGTGGCCTTGGGGCATCAAGGAAGACGTCCATCCTTGAAAGTAGAAATCAAGTTTCCTCGGTATTAACATGTTAAAGTTATGGGAAGAGAAGAAAAGAGCATGCACAGGAGGCTCTGAAAGAACCCTGTATTGTCCACATGTAGCGCAAGGTGCAAAGACACATGTCACGGTTGAGTCATGATAACATAACATCTTGCTCATGACCACCCTGTCTCAGTTGCCCTGGTACAGAAGCTTCCCACCAAGTTCAGAAAAGGAACACTGTTCTGCAGTGCAACTGGAGTGTGCACACACATAAAGTCAGATGTGGAGTGCACACACACATGAGGTCAGATTGCGGAGTGCACACACACATAAGGTCAGATTGTGAGTACACACGTGTGCCCTCCAGGATCTAGTTAGTAGACTCTAAGTGGAAACTGCACGACACTGTGTGTCAGGAAACTTTCTCTGTGGAGTCTTTTATGTCTGCACTGTGTTTCCCCCTCTTCTTTCATGTCGAGCTTCCTGAAGGTGAGGAGGACTCCTGCTTTGTGAACTCCTTCAGATCTTGAGAACTTGCCTTGCCTCCTCTCCCATCTGGCTTTCATTGGCTTCTGTCAAGGCACTTCAATAAAAGGAAACCTCAAAGGAACTGTGCCTAACGAAATGTAAATCTGAGATCATGTGTTTTCCCTTTCTTTGTCCTCGGCCTTCCCCAGGTGAATGTGATCAGCTTGAGGACCAGAGAGAGACGCTTCCCTCCAGCTGACTGCAGGTCTTATCTGGTAGCCTCTAGGTGAAGCGATGGACTTTCTTCTGTCCCTCCAGCTGATGACATGTTGTCTGCTAGCTATACAAAGAGACGACCCCACGGAGCCACCAATGAGTTATGTTGTAAACAGTTTCATTCTTAAACAAACAACATAATGATCCTCTTTAAACAGCTAAGGAGAAGACTGATAATACATCATTGCTGTCTATAGTGTTGAGTAGAATTCGCCAAGTAACTGGATGTTCACACCCACTATTTATTGTTGCAAAACAGGATGAAGAGGAGGAAATCAAACAAGAAATTAACATGTTGAAGAAATATTCTCATCATAGGAACATCGCAACATACTACGGTGCTTTCATCAAAAAGAACCCTCCGGGCATGGATGACCAGCTATGGGTACGTAGCACTATGCAGATGTGCATGCCTCTATCCCCTGGAGGACTTGATGGGGCGACCTGACATTTGATTTTCATAACACTGTATTTTCAAGGTTTTTCCCATATATATATATATATATATATATATATATATATATATATATATATGTATTACAGGGACGGTTAAGCCAGAGGTTAATATCTGTGGATGAGCACATGTATGTACAGGCATGGTGAAGTCAGAGGTCAATATCAAGTACCTTTCTCTGTTAGTGGTCACCTTGGGTCCTTCCTTCCTTCCTTCCTTCCTTCCTTTCTTTCTTTCTTTTTTCCTTTTAGACAAGGTGTCTCCCTGAAGCTTCTGCTGCCTGTTTTAGCTACACTGGCTGGCTAGGGAGCTTGTAGGATCCCCCTGACTACTCATTCACTACCCCAGGGCCGGGGTTAGCAGACAAAACCACTATGTGCCCAATCCTTTCCTGAGTTCAGGTCCTCCTTCTTGTACAGGAAGCACTGTATCCACAGAGCCTTGTTGCAATGCCCCTTCTTATCCATATGTGTATTGGCCATGCCCACAGCTACTTGCTCATTCCCTCTTCTCCTCACCTGTCGGCCATCTTTTATAGCATTGTCATATTTTAGGCACTGTGCCATCTACTGTCTACGAATCATATGACATTTTCCCCTTCACTGAGATAGGTCTCATCAGTCTCATCTCTTTCTCCGTTTTTTGTTTTCAGTTTCATTTCTGAAAGAATGCTAAGATTTGCAGGGAGGATAATCAGTTGTCTCGTGGTCTGTGTGGTGGACTTGAAACAAGCTCTGCCTGAACTCTGGGTGATTGAGGTGCTTTGCCCTTCCTGAACTCGCCCCCCACCCCGCTTCAGCAGTTTTGTGTCCCAGTCCTTTGAGAGAGCTCTGATTGTCTGACCCACCCGTGGCAACTGAGAGTTGTTGTCCCCGCAGTGTTCAGGGCAGATTGTCTTTTCCACCTTGTGGTCTCGGACACAGGAGCTTGTTAATCACTTGATCCTTCCCTGGGTACACTGCCATCTCGGTCGATGACATGAAAGGAATTTACCTCTTTTGCCAATCTTATGAATCAGCCTCAGTACAGCCCATTCAGTGGCAGGTGGACCAGTTGGTCTGCTTCTCTTCATCTCTTGGGTCTTTGCTGCTTTCATGTGATGCTGTTTGAAAATGAATGCCTTGCTCATCTTCCGGGGTTCTAGTTAGTGTCTAATACACAAAAGCCCCTGAGTGGTTGTCTACCAAACGCCAAGGACTGTGGTACACTGTGTGGCTCCGATGGGGAACATTTCATGGACATTTCTCCAGGCTCAGTCTTGATACAAGTTACTCTGCTGATGCATGTGACATTTGAAATCTAACCGAGATGGCAAAAATAAAAAAAAAAAAAGAGTATTCAGTATATATACGTACATGCTGACCAGAAAAGATATAATGATGTCAGCTCCAGCACTAACAAAGTTTTAGTCCATGTGATACTGAATATTCAGCATGTAAATGTGAAAAGAAGTTCAGGGAAAATTTCCCCATAGGGTCCATCTCCAAGTTTAGCATAAAGGTACACCATAAGGCAATTAAAGTATGATGGCGGTGATTTAATATACCACATGGTTCCTGTAAAAGTTACATTCAATTTAACTGCAGTCTCTACATGTAGAGTAATATGGACATGGAGGTTGGAAAATAAAGTAATAAGAGAAAATCAACGTCAATGCGCACTCGGATGAGACATGACAAGGAGATGAGCTAAATCAAACCTTGAGGGACTTGATTACATAGCTTTTAAAAATTATTACAAAAATAAAATGGAGATGTAAGTTACTAATTTAGGAAAAATATCCATTTCCTATATGATGGGCAGAGTATAACAGCCTTCAGATAGGAAGGGTTTGCAGCAATCAAATGGGGTAAAGTGGGAAACTACACTAGAAAGGCCAGTGAAGGCCAAGGCTGCAGCTACAACGTTAGGAATCAGTTACTAATAAAGATGCCTTTAAAAAAAGTTACTCCTGTGGATATTGTAAACACAGAGACCCAGAAGGAATTCAGTGCAATTTCCCTCCTACAAGATTAGCAGATAGTTTTCAGGACCTACTACTATTTCATAGGTACTATTCCTACCTACTACTTATGGAAATACACATTGCTGCCACTTAACCCAAGGACAGTTAGAATACACATAGAACACACACAGCTCTCTCTCTCTCTCTCTCTCTCTCTCTCTCTCTCTCTCACACACACACACACACACACACTCACAGAAAGAAAAATGTTTACACATATATAATGCATATGTTTTTATATACACGTATGCATATATATTCCAAGAGAAGTACCTAAGTTTTGAACCAGTATTTACTTAAGCGGAAATTTATTGAAGGGAAATACTTACATAGCTACATAAATAAATTAACCAATGAGGAATTTACTTAACTATACAGTTAATTAAACTACACATAAATTTATTCTTATGACTGGATGAACATTAACTATTGCAATAAGATTATAAAGTCTTAAAGGTCATAATAAAATACAATATTTTTCATTTTTGTAAAAAGAAAAAGTATATGCTTACACACATGCAGACTGGTTGCAATCTCTGAACTAAACACACAGTAATGATGAGGAAACATTTACTTTTGAGGGTCATTTCAGTCCTTTAATTTTTATATTTAATTTTAGAGATAGGGTCTTTCTTCATAGTTCTGGTTGCCCCAGACCTCACTGTGTAGACCAGGCTGGCCTTGAACTCACAGAGATCCACCTGCCGCAGACTCCCAATTGCTGGGATTAAAGGCGTATACTACCATATCCAGCTATTTTCTATTTTAAACTTCATTACTTAAAAAACAGAGAATTCAAAATAAGATTACAAATCCAAATCAGCCAGATCCCAAACTTTACAACTTAATGAACTTCCGTTCAATTAGAATACCCACCGGAGATGGGAGTTAAGGAGCTTGATATTGAATTTTATACTTTCTCTATTGAATACATTTTTTGCACATATCCACCTCCAAACCAAAGTATTAATGATAGAGGTAGAACTAGAAAAACAATTAGTTTTATATCCTTTTTCATATTTCATGGCCTTCATCTGCATTTACTTCTTCCTCATTCCCTAATACTTAGCCTTTCTCTTTCTGTTCTGCATGGTGTACTGGACCCGCGTGGCTTTTGTTTACATGTAGACGTATGTTACTGGCTAGCTTTCATATATGAGAGACAGCAGGCAGTATTTTCCTTTCTGAGATTGGATAGCTCATTTAGTAGTATACTTTCTAAGTCATCCAGTTTTTGAGACATTATTGTCTTCCATACTTGTTTCTCCTTGTGTTTCTCTCCCACCTAGCGTATGGTATGCACCTTTTCTGCTGTTCCTCTTTTACTGTCTCTCATGGGACCACCCCAGCTCCTCACAAAGGCAGACAGGACAAGGGTTGTGCCTTTTGTGTCTTTGTTTTCTCTTCAGCTTTTGGAAGGTACTTGGCAACATGAGTGGGAAAAGAATTTATTTGTTGGTGGGAACAGCATCACTGGTACAAACCTTGTCTTGGTGATGTCTGCGTGATGCTTCCTAAGGGCCTGAACGCTCAGAGACATATAAAGAGGTGACATGCACTAGAATATCTTCATGTCCCAAAGAACCCCAGCACTGTCCGGAATCCAGGGTTTAGTGCTGTCCTTTATTGCCATGAGCTACAACAGATGACTCCCAGATCATTGCCACACTCTGGGGTACACATCATTGCCACACTCTGGGGTACACATTGCCACACTCCTCTGGGGTACACATTGCCACACTCTGGGGTACACATCATTGTCATACTCTGGGGGTACACCTATACATCCTTGTAGTCTTTGCTACCCCAGAAAGAACCACTAATCCTCTCACAACCCCCATGTTTGTGAAGGAATCCACTGCCTTGTGCAAGATGAACAAGAACTGTTGTGACTTCCTCTACCAGTTCTACTGAGGTGGAACTGGCAAACTTCGATAGTATTGATGAGGGTGAGGAGCAACAAGGATGCTTGCCCTCTGGTGGGGTTGTTGGGCAGTGCAGCCATTGTGGAGAAGCTTTTGGAGGTATCACCCAACAGTTCAGTTCTGTGTATATCTGCCAGAAGTGAGATCGTTATGTCCAGGAGACATTCTCACACCCCTCTTCCTTTGCTGAAAGTGTTACACACAGTACGGGAAGAATGCTGGCAATTTTATGCAGTCTGTGGTCATACTCTGGGGGTACTACATCCTTGTAGTCTTTGCTACCCCAGAAAGAACCACTAATCCTCTCACAACCCCCATGTTTGTGAAGGAATCCACTGCCTTGTGCAAGATGAACAAGTTTATGCCAACTGGGCATAAACATGGAGCTCCTTTTGTTAGTCGGAATGTTCAGACTGTTGGTTTTCTTGGATTTGGGCAATGTTTTCCAGGTAGTCTCCTGAGGAAAGGAGAGGGGTCATCTAGCAGACTTAGCTCATTTCCTCTTTCCCTAAACCCTAGATTTTAATTTGATCTTTTCAAAACAGGTGCTGTTGATTGAACATGTATTGCATGCCAGGCATTGGACTGATTGTTGGAAACAATTCTTTTTCAAATTTGTATGTAATTCATAGATACAAAATTTACATTTCAAAAACATACTTTATCACTCTTTCAGGTTAATTTGCTTTTGCAGCTGGAAGGAAATTTCACTGTTATTCTCTTGCTGGGCTCCAGTGAAGCTAATTGACTTTTTGAACAAAAAGAGGTGTTGAGGAAACGGGGTATAGTGGGGGGAGGGGGATGGTAAAACATGTGTGACCTACATGAAAACTGAAAGAGTCTACAAGGGGTGAGAAGAGGCAAGGAGGGGTAGGCAGATATAGGGGAAAGGAGAGAGAAGAAGAGCCATAAAACAAACTGTGTTTGAAAATGTCATAATGAAACCTAATACTTTGTGTGCTAATTAATATATACCACATATTAAATACAATACATGATAT